TCTCCTTGGTTTGTATTTTCTGTTCACCCATGGCAGCTTTAATCACATCCACCTCTCGCTGGGTAAACTGCAAACTCGTTTTTATCTCCTGTATTTCTCTGGTCATGTCGTCGAATCTCTTGTTGTTTGTCTCCATAATTAGTTGCACGAAGCCTTTGAAGTTTTCCTGCTGTTGGTTCAACAGCGCGATGTACATCTGTTTCTGCTGATCCACAATGTCTGTTACTTGCGCCGCTCTGTGACACACTTCTTCTGGCTCCATATTCTCATTCACTTCTGATTTATTAGCTCTTTTCCCTCTTTGAGGCATTTTAATAGTTGTAGAGTTTGTTCAAAGACTTGAAAGTGTAAAACAGACAAGAGGAGCAGTAAAGACGTCTGCTCTCGCTTGCAACCCGGGAATGCATTCAAACCACTCCAGCTAAAGACTGGGGTAGCTGTGGAGGTAGAGCGGCCATCCCCCAACTGGAAGATTGCTGGTTTGATTCCCGTTCTCCCCAGTCCACATGTCAAAGTATCCTTGGGCAAGACAGGTTGTTCCTGATGGCCAGAGCAGCACCTTAGTCCTCATGTGTGTAACGTACTTGGCCAATAAAAGTTATTTGTCATTATCATTTTACAATATCCAACTATTTCAACTAATATAGAGAAAAGTTAAAACTTATTTGGCCTTCGATGATGAGCTGATTTCTAGGAGTATCTGCCAGCCATGATCAGATACAGGCTGTAAAGTGTTCCACAGGTTGAAGGTGCCAAGGTTCAGGTTTTTTTTGCAAATTAGTTGTACATAACCAATTTCTAGGAGACAGGATTGGCTTCAGCACATTGGATAGCTCCCTGTGGAGGTATTGGGTGTAGAAATGGCCAATTGGAGGATACAGCTGGGGAGAGGGATGTCTGCACCAACATGCTTAGCTTGGTTGGATGGATAAATGGATTGTCAATATGTATCAAAATACTGATTAGAACTCAGGGAGTCCTAATTGATTGTGCTATACACTATGCTGAGTACTAGATATCGGGCTATCAAATTTTTCTTTGAATGTTATCTAATTGTTTGGCATTTGTATTACTAGTGCAGTATAGAAGCTGCTCTGGTACTTTTTTTAATGTTATTCTAAAGAATTTAGAAGAACTGTGTTAATTTGAACACATTTGGCAGAGAGAGACTATATTTCCACATTCCGGGAGATATAATGGAAATAGATAAGTATTTAGATAAAGTGCACTGTGAAACAAGACATTGTACTTGTGTTAAACTCATTTCTAAATCCAGGATTTGGAGAAACGGCGCCTATTTTTGCAATAAGCACGCGTGACATCCTGTTTATCCTGTGTGTGTTTCCATCTGCATCATTGCCTGCAATAACAGTGATTTTTGTTTTATGCTCTTTCACCAGTTACACAGGGGCCCTGTGGGAAACTGATGACCTAGAAACTGTCTGTTGGCTTCAGTGCAATCACCAGCTGGGTTTTATGGTGAGGTTTTATTCTTGTTCTCTGGTTTATTACAGTCCAGGTGCAAGTGTAACACGTTGTCACTATTTACATCAGATTACTTGTACTAATGGCCTTACTGCCACATTGTAAATACTCACCTCTCATCTGAGGACGACAAACACGCCAGCACAAAGTTTCATTTTAGCATGAAAAGCTTTTGTTCAAAGGTAGAAATATATGCTTAGGTTAAGGTTAGGGAAAGGTTAGAGTAGTGTTATGGCTCAAGGGAATGAAGGTGGACAATGCAGTGTCCCCTCAAGTGGAAAAAACTGTTAGGGTTATCTCTGTGTGACTTTGTGTGCATACAGTTCTGAAGGTGATGCTATAAATGTAGAAACCACAGATGAAAACCAAACTGAAGTAATATGTTGTGTTATTTATTACATTGTCATATTGCGTCAGTGAAATTTTTGGTGTGTGTCAGCTAAAACTTATAAATGTAATCTATAATAGGATAAACTTGTGCAATAGCTTTCCATCTTGTACCTAATTTCCCCAAGCTGTCTCCCGAACACACCTTGAATTTTACAGTTAAAATTCTATACAGCAAAGCATTTTTAATGAAAGTATTCTTCCCCAAGAGAATCCATGGGGTTAGGGGTTGCTCAAGGGAACCACGGATGCTGGTAAACCCTTGAGACCATCTGCTAATGCTCATGGGACATACAGATGGTTGACTTTTCAATTCCACTGCTTTGAAATTGGAGGCTCAGTGCTCAGCTACTCAAGAAGATATATTAATGTGACTGCACTGTGTGACAGAAAAACAGTGGCATCGCTAATCTTCCATAACATTGGAAGCATTAAAAAAATCCATATGGATTCTTTTAAAGTACAGGTAACTCTAGACATGCTTCTCCTGCATTTTATCAGAACCACTTGGATTGAACAAGTTAATGAAGTTGTAAGCACTTGATAATTTATTCCTGACAATATTATTATAATGAATATGTGGAAAGACTAAAAATGTTAGTTTTTCTTGCTGAGCGTAGCACCTTGTGTTTTTCTTGAGGAAATGTCTTCGAAGACTCGGAGCAGGTGGTGTCACAAGAGGGAAATCAGTGATGCCAAACAAAATTAAATCAAAAGATTCTTGCTCATCCACAGTAGCATATAGACTGACTGTATGTGCCATTACACTAATATTTTATAGTCTGGCAGTGTTTGTTTATGCCATTGTGAATGCCAAGTGTGATTTGTCACAGTAAGGAGTGGTGTACCCAATAAATGCTTTTTTTTTTATTCACATGAAATTTTCGAGCATTAAATGACTCAGCCAGTAATTTCAGCCATTTTCACTGCCATCACTTCATCAAAGATCTAAAACATCAGAGCTGCCATTGCCTCCTGTCTAGCACTGCGTTTGTCTTCTAACAAACAGCATCCACAACCCCAGGTACTTTTGTCCAGAAGCTGACCGTATATCCCAGTGGGTTCACAAGAAGAGCATGTTGTGCCCCTTCTCGTGTGTCTCATTACAGATAATTGCACCCACTTATGCAAATTATAGAAAAGTGCTGTTTCTCTCGAGGTTTGACACGTGTCCTCGCCCACTCATTCTTTTCAAATTTTCTCCTTCTCTAATCTTTGGACCTTTACCAAACATTTGCAATTCTGCAATATGAAGAACAGCATCCCCCTCTTCCTGTGTGAATTGTATTCTTGTCTCTTCTCCCTCTGTGCAAATGGTGTCCTTGAGTTTTTTTTCTTGTGTCTATGTGTAGTCTATTTCAGGTTTCTTGGTATATAGGTGGTCATGTAGTGCAGATTGAAATGGCCTTTAAGTCAAATTTGTATTTCGGAGAAACTTAAATGTTTGCCACATATTAAAGTGGAAGTCTTCCTCACTCTGCTATGCTGACAAATCGAAACTGGTTACTCCTCTTCTCCTCATACCGATTCTCACTTCAACTCTTGAAAATTGTAATTGTTTACACAAAGAGAAACTAAAAGAAGAATGTTGCTGCCTCTTTCTTTTTCTGTGCCCTTATTGAGCACAAACATGACAAGTGTGTAACCCTGTTGAGTGGGGTTTAAAGAAACCGATAACATGCAGCAATGGCATATGGCATTTCCAACTCCTGAAATGCAAAGTGCACTGAGTGTCTGACACTTGAAAGGCTTCTACAAACAGTAGCAAAGGCTGTCAAACATGTTTGCAGTTTTATTTCTGACATTGCATCACTAGGGTGACCTGTTGCCTCAAGGATAAAGCGTCTGGTGTGTTGCTCCATTTAGATGTAGAGATGGATGTAATGATTTCTGGTGAAGCACAAGGAAAAATGGCAAGCTGACAATGTTACTTTTCTGAGGTCAGAACTTAGAAAACAAAACAGAGTATGGTAATAATTATTCAGGGCTTTGCTTAAAGTGTTATTAGTTGATTTATGGCAACTTGGGGAAACAGAAGATGCTCTAAACATATCACTGAATATGACAGTCACATTATCCCAGGTCAAATGTAACTGATAGTACATGAAAAGGGAAAGGTCCTAGTGATCTTCTAGTACATGTTCAAATCCAATATAGAAATCTCCATGGGTATTGTTTGGTATTTTTTTAGTCAGATAAAGGCTTTATTCTATTTTAAAGCCACGTCCGGTTCTTTCAAACCAGGAACTCAGTGAGACGAAGCAGACCACTTGAGTATATAAAAAAATATAACCGTGCTGGTTTATTCAAAGGGTCACAGGCAAGAATTAACATTACACGTCCAGGCATCTCCACCCCCAAAACTGCGCGCAGGCAGCCCGGAAGATGAAAAGACCCTGAACCCCAATAGCCTATACATTTCATCTGGTTGGTTGGGCTAGCCCATTCTACGCAGGCAACGTCAAACCGTGGCGTCACCTGATATGCCAGCTTTGCAGCTGACCAGAGCAGTAGTCAAAACATGGAGAAAATTCAAGTGTGTGGCTGTTGATTAGTGGTGTGTATCTCAAAACATACAGGACATTCAGGGACATGTCCGAACAGTAAGCCTCGGAAAATGTTATGATTAAGATTACGGCTGAGCATATCATGCTACTAGCAATATTCATCCTGCCTGCTGACTCTTCAATCTAGTTGACTTTGAGGCCCACATGCCGTTATACATCACCCACACCATCTTTGTAAGTAATTGTACGTCTGTGCAACACTTTTTGATCAGTCAGTGAGTTAACTGAAGAGTGAACTAATCTGTGTGTGGTCAGAGTGAGCTGGGTCTGAAGCAGCTGGAGGTTGACGGTGAGGCTGTGGAGGTATTTGGGGTGGAGAGGACTGTTCACTCTGTGGAGGACAGCCCCACCACCTGGCAGTGCTACTTCTTGGATGATGGGTAAGATAAATGACTATATACATCTCTAGGCTCTTAGACAAGTTCACTGCCACCACTGTGGATGAAACAGGATATAGCCGTAATCTTAATCATAATATCATTTTAGGCTTAATGTTCGGACATGTCCCTGAATGTCCTGTATGTTCTTAGATACACACCACGTAATCAACACTCACACACATTGATTTTCTCCATGTTTTGACTACTGCTACGGTCAGCTATGAAGCTGGCATATCAGGTGACGCCACGGTTTGATGTCCCTGTGTAGAATGGGGTTAGCCCAAACCAGATATAATGTACAGGCCTGTTGGGTTCGGGGTCTTTCATTCTTCATCTGCCTGCGCGCAGTATTGGAGGTGGAAGATGCCTGGACGTGTAATGTTAATTTTTCCTGTGATCCTTTGAATAAACCAGCACGAATTTTTGTATACACTTGGACCGCCTCGTCTCTCTGAGTTCCTGGTTAAGAGAACTGGAAAAAATGGCCTTCAGTATCCAAGACAAAAGAGGCATAATATAGTCCAGTGAATCCTGAACTTTTTCGGCCTGGCCTCCCACCTTTTGTGTGTCAAAATATTTGTGATTATACTCTCATTACATGGTTACAGTCTGCAGCTTTGTAGTAAGTAGCTAATCACATGATCCTTGTTGCATATAAACATTTGGGTAATTCTGTGATTAAGACTGATTTGATGAGGTACAAATGAATAAAACATACATCTTGGTAATCAGGAGCAACCTGAACTATAGCAGGATAGTTACGGAACAGACTTATTGTGTGGATGCTGAGTCAGTTTTACCTCATGGGACAACATCCTGTAGAGCTGTTCTTTCGAGATGGCCAGCCTCTCTCTGTCTGTGCTGTCCACCACCAGGATGATGAACTGCAGAGCAGGAGACAAACGTCATTCTGAGCAATCTCTTTTCAAAGGACATTTACAGCAATAAAATGCAACACAGCGGGTGGGCACTTCCAGGCCAAGAGCTTCACAATGGCTACTGGTGACTGCTATGCTAATAGCCTGTTTTGAACGAGACAGCATGACCCTGTATGACAAAAGACCATTCTGGAGAGGTGTAAGAGAGCCCATTTAAACCAAGGCAACCACTCAGGAAAAATACTATCAGTATTATTAGCAAATGAGTCAACATATGAATGTGACCCAAATCACAACCAGGGTGATACCCGACTGCTCTACTCTGAAATGAAAGGGTGAATACAGGTTAATAGAGAAGCTGTACACTGTAAGAAGTCTACTGAAATAGGTATTTATTAGGGCTGCACGATAAATTGTTTTATGAGTGTGATTTCGATCCTGTATGACAATGATCTGAGAAACTGAAACTAGAAAATGTTCTAAATGTGTGCCTATCCAGCAGCCGGATAGCTCGGTGATCAACACCACTGTATTTGGTATGGCAGGTTGGGAATTGATTCTGTGTCAGGGCGCAGTCAATATCCAGCGTGGGCCCTTAGGAGGGACATACCTTCCATCAAACCAAGCTTTTCCTTACTCACGCCCTTTTCTGCATTAACCAATAGCAGGGACCAGTAAAAGTTCTAAATGTGTGCCTATCAAATGGGTGGCATAGCTTGGTGGTTAACACCACTGACTTTGGTACGGCAGGTTGGGGTTCAAGCTCTATATGCTTGTTTGTG